CCGCCGTGCCGAGCGAACAGCACCGCGCAGTGGCCGCGGCTGCCTGCGGCTGGAGGAGGACAACAGCGCTCAGGACAACGCGCAGGGAAGGGATTGGGGGCCCCCACGGTCCCTGCAGCATCACGCAGGGGGGACCCAGCTGCCAGCAGCTGCCCCGGCTGCACCAGCGCCACAGCTCATGTACCTCTTGGGCACGCATGGAGGCTCAGTCGTTAGCTTGCTGCTAACCAACCGGGTCCCCCTCAGGGCTGGCACGACTTTGTCATCCACAGACCAAGGCAGCAGTGCAGCAAAACCACCTGCCCCCGCGGCAACCCCGCCATGCGTCACCTCCAGATTATTGGGGGTGCCTGGCTTTCCTGGGGCCTCCTCAGAGCCACTGGGCTCCTTCGAATAGCCCCCACAAAAGGGCCGTTCAGCCTCATTACCCACATGGGTGCTTGGGAAGGAGGCAATCAGACCAGATACACCAGATTGCCAAGATGGACAGGCCTTTCCTCGAGAAACCCTTCAGGGCAGCCCTTTCCCGTCCCCTTACACACCCACGGTGCTTGTCTGCTTCCTTTTTCTACCCTGCCAGGCAGGATTTTAAAGCAACTTATTACTACTTCTGCTTTTCTGGTAGGCAGGAGACCAGCTGAAGAAACGTAGCTGGACTTTCCAACAGCAGGAAGCAAGATTTGCCCCACCGACTGCAGTGGGAAACAGCCTCAGGGTGCTGGGAAGCCCAAGGGGCCGACCCGCGGGAAGCTTATGGGGAGGCATACCTGGAGAATAAGACAGCGCCAGCTCAACTTTGCAAGGCTACGACACAGGCAGCAGTGGTGTCCAGACTCCTGCTGAGATGCTTTCTCCACTCAACTGTCTCCACCTGGGCTTAAGATACGCTGAGATGGCAACACCCACAATGGCTGTTGCAGAGGATGAGGGCAGTTGGATCTGGAGTCAGCAGTTGCTCTACCAAAACATCACCCACAAGCAAGACAAATACAGAAACAGCCCTGTTTAGCTCCCAACAGACAAAAATGCTCTGAGGAAAAAGAGGAACATTTTACACTGGGGACAGGTCCTCTGCAGCACAAGCAAATTCAGCCGAAAGGAGTCATGCTTAGGGTTCCTTGACAGCAATAAGCGTCGTCTCCTTACACACTATTTGGTCTCCCTGAGGGCCTCCCCCACCCTGTTATGCAGCTGCATGTCACACCTTAGAGACAATTTGCTCCTGTTCTGCCTAGGACTGTGGCTGATGCAGAGACAAACAGTGGCTGTGGTGGCCATCCTGTCTTCCCAAGATCAGCTCCTCTGCTCCAGCAAGTCAGGGGTAAGAGCCAAAATGTGGGCTGGGAGCTGCGGCAACCAGCAGCAAAGCATACAGAAGAAGCTGGTGTAAATGGCTGCTTGGTGGAGGAGAACCCCTCCGGCGCTCTGTGAGAACAGGGAGCAAATGCAAAATCTGAACCAAGTAACTAGGTAGAGCTGCCACTGCTCTAAAAAGGACAGCAATGCACTTTCCAAGGCAGCCCACTGTGCAGCAATACGGACACACGCCAGGCAGACACGGGTTCACAATTGTGCTTGAAACCAGTCAAGCAGTTTCTTTTTATTTATTACAAAAAAAAAAAAAAATCCCACCAAATAAAAAAAAAAACCAACCCTCTAATGGTGAAAGTATAGATATGGCATTTACACAGCTACATCTACCTTCTGCTGACAGCCCCACCCGCCCACAGTAATGTAGACTTATACGCGCTTACATAATATAGAGCGACACAGACAAACAAACAGGCTTCTAGAGTTCGCAAGAAGGAGCGAGGTGCAGCGAGAGGCCTCCAGCCTGCCTGGGATGCACCAAGCCAAGGGACCCCCAGACACGTGGCTCTTGCGCCACAAGGACATGGTGCTGTCCCCCGTGCAGCGAGTCTTGGATTCGGGGCTGCCTGGGAAGGGCTTTGCTGGTGGTGGGCAAGTGCTTTAGCAGTTGTCAGAGGGGAGGGAGGATGGCGTTTGGCTACCAGGATAACACGTGTAAGAAAACACGTGGCCTTTCCCTCCAGTGCCTTGCAGATCTCAAAGTGCATGGCAGACATCAGTGAACCGAGCCTCCCAGGCTGCCCTCCTCCTCCTCATGAGGTAGTCAGTGAACTTAGCCTCATTTCATGTGCAAGGTACAGAAAGGAGGGACCTCCTGCCAGAGGGCATGAGAGCCCGCTGCAAGCCCTCGCTGCTCAGTGTCAGAGGGCCTGCGTAGCTACCAAGCAAAAGAGAAGTGTTGGAGAGCCGAGGAAAAGAACTCTGTTAGCACAATGGTTCTCAGCATCTTCCTTACCGGGATCCGTTGTTCCAGACTGAAGTCTGTTCCCACCTCAAAGACAGCATGGGGCAACCCCTCACGGGGTGGGGTAGGGGGGGTAGGATAGGGAAGGCATCTGGTGCCTGTGATCCTGTGAAGGATGACCCCACACATACAGTACGTGCTGGGAACTGACCCTACGTTCTTAGAAACTATTGAGGAACAAGGGACCAATCCTGTCGCGCTCTCGGTGAGCCAAATACAGTACTTGTGTCAGCAATATGAAGCACTACCAGTTCTAGTGTTCAGTCTGGGAGGAAAACAGAAATAGCCCTCACTTAGTACGAGAAAACAGAAATAGCATTGTCCCATATGAGGAAAACTGGGATTAGTGAGGTCTATGAGACAGAGAAACGAGACAGACATCTCTGAGGCCAAAAGGGCTGTTCAGCCAAGGGAGCGCAAGGAAGCACTGCCACAGGAAAAAGGCGCACAGACTCTTCAACCCGCTGCTTGGAAAAACCGACAGCAACCGGCACAGATGAGGCGCGAGGGACACTGCTTCTTCTGGCCCCTTCCTCAGCAAAAGTGGGAGCTGAATTTGACTGCTGGGCAGCTCTGTCAACTCATCCTGAGGGCTCCCTTCATTCCCACAGCAGAGGAGTTTTAATGGAGCAAGAGATGCAAAAAAAAAAAAAAAAGAAAGAAAAAGAAAAAAAAAGATAAAAAAGAGGCAGTACTGTTCCTGGAACCCACTGTGCAACTCTCCTGGGAGCACATCAACACCTCTAAGTGCCACACAAGTAACTTAGTTATTGGATTGTGTTGCAGATATATTGCTCATTGCCAGATCAGGTGAGTCAGCCCTAATGTATGATCAGAAAATTGTAGATGGGAGGGAGAGGTATTAGCCAGAGATCTGGGCGCATGAATTCCCAAGGCTAAAAATCAGCCTTTGGGGCTTCCAGATACTAGGATGGACTAGGATGGCTTCTCTCTTTGATTAAAAGAGGGGCTGGGACAAACAGCCCCCATCACCTTCTCAAAATGACCCTCGCCTGAGGCACTAATATTTTCATTTTGAACATAGACAGAGATATCTTTAACCACATGGCTGCCACAAAAGAAAACACGGGATGGAAGCAAAGGTTCAGGGGAGTGGACAGTACTCCTAGAGCACACAGAATGTCTTCAATTCTGCCAGCCTCAAATTAGAGGGAAAACTGTAATTGTTTTCAGCAGCAAAACAATGTGGCTGCAGAGTTGCGTCTGCAGCACTTACAGTTGCAATTAGAATAGACAGGGCAGATGGTCTTGGTCAACAATAAGCCCACAGAAGTGCTGGGTTTAAAGTTCTTCTGGATAGAGAAGTGTTGTCCTGAATCTGCAAGCAGCCAAGTACAGACGGGAAGAAAGGAGCACAAAGGAGTGACAGCTGGGCAGACCACGTTTGTCTTCCTGCTGGGATAAATGCTGCAAGCCTGGATAAACGTTGCAAGATTAGGCTTGGCAGGTAGGAGTTTCATGGAAAAAACCCAGGCGCAGTTTGACTTGAAGCCCCCAAGCAGACTGACACACAGGATGTAATGAAAGTATTTAGAGTGCAGGAAGATAGACAGATGGGGAGACAAACAAGGCATTTCAGAGAGTTTAACAAACCAGCGTGGTTAGGAAGACGGAGGCAACTAGAAGTTTGTATTCTTCCATGTTGTTCCCCTCCCCTCAGCAGAATGAAGAAAAGTAAAATAAGAAAGCATTAAAAAGAGAATTTAACCAAAGAGACAAGGAACACCTGAGCACTGGACACACCTCACAACTGCTTGTCATGAGGAGCTGAACTCCCACATTCTGGATTGCACTTCATAATATCAGCACCTACTAAAGGACCCACCTCTGGCTGCTGCCTGCCAGCCCTGGGAAGCCCGGTGGGTCATGGGTGGGAACGGGTCGTCCCCAGTTAGTCCAACAGGCAGTGCAGTCTGTGTTGGAAGGAAAGCAAAGCATCGTCTTTCCAGGGCTTATGGGGTCATTCTGGTCCTCTCTGCGTTGCATAGTATTCTTCAGCTACCAAAGCCAAAACACCTCTTGTTTGGTTGTAACACTGCAAGGTACAAGTCTGCATAGAGCCCTGGATGAGCACGGAGAGGACCTGTAATGTTCATGTGTGTGTGTGTGTGTGTGTGTGTGTGTATTTTTTTCCTAAGAGGAGGATGTTTAAATTAACACTTGTCATTGTAGAACAGAGAAGGACCTAAGGACTCTCTTACGGCACGCACAGTGGGCAAGCAAGACCTTAACTAGAGCACGCCTGACCTCCAATGTGCATGTGCACACAGAGCTATGGGACCTGACTCTGAACAATCATTTCTCCTTGTTTCCATGTTTCCTATGACTCTGTTACACACCTGAACTAAGCAATATGACGTACAACATTTGACCATGACCCTGAGTCTCAGGGAAAAGCAAATAGTTCTGTGAGTCCAGATTTCCTTCGCTGGTACCAGGCCAAACTTCATTTCTTGACCTGGCTCCTGCTATATTTCCTTTGAATTCCCTGTACAGGTGGCAAAAATGCCTATCAAGGTAGCAGTGTCCTCCCTAGTAGAGAGGACCATGTGAGCTACTGTATGCCATGAAGCTTGTTCAGAAGAGCACTACGTGGCTGGGCTATCGTACATGGCCAAAGGAGAGAAGTATTTCCAGGGATGTGGGGAGGAGGAAGGGTGGGAGCACACAGATCGGAGATGGAGGCCTAGCTGCATGGGTCAAGCCTGCTTCTTGCACACTACCTCAGAAGGGGGTAAACTGGAATGTATGGTATCTCAATGTTTTCTCAATTTCTTTTTTTTAAAGCCAGCCTTATGGCAAACTATAAATTAATAAGCTAATTAAATACTCAGGTGAGAGAACAGGGAACCTCCAACTGTGTAAACAGAAGACAGATTATGGCTTCTTTCTTAGATAATTGGAAGGGATCCAGCCCTCCCAACAGGGCCCCCCAGTCAGGACCTTGCAAAATCCCCAGCCACTGCTGTTCTTCTCACGAACTTCAAATAAAGTCCCTTCTTTAAAGCTGTTGGTCTCCTCATCGCCTTCAAAATCTGCCACTGCCACATAGAGAGCTTCCTTGGAGATTTCCGGATTGGAGAAGGGGATAGACGTCCTCTCCTTGGCTTCCCCTCTCTCCACTGGCTTGGATATTACCTTTGGGACTAAGCTGCTTTTCACTTTGGCTTCATCTTGGCTTGAAGCAGCCAGGAACGGTTTGGCTTTCGGTGGAACCAGCATGGGCCTACCTGGTACAGCGGAAGATCTGATTTCAGGTGCTTCCCGCGGCTGGGTTTTCAGCTCTGGTGTGGGGCCAGAGGTAGGACATGCTGTTTTCTTTGGGGGTGGTGGTCTACGGGGTGGTACAACGGGCCGCTGAGGCGGGGGCTCCCTGGGATTTGGGTAGTCACTCTTTGGCTCAGGGTGAGCTATTTTTGCTGGGCCCAGGGGACATTTGGGCAGTGCCTCTTTTGCGATGTGGCTGTCCGGTTTAGGCAGAGGCTTGCTCTCCACACTTGGTCGCTCCTGAAACTTTCCAGAAGTCTCTGAGGGGACCGTGGCATTACTGAAGGAGTTTTCACTGGCAGCAGTGTCCTGCTCAGAGGGTTTCTCTTGGCACTTTGCAGGTCTAAGCTTGCTTCGCAGGCTACAGATGTCCAGTTTATCATCAGCTGGAGGAGGGTCAGCCCGGGGGGCTGCAGCGGGTTTTGGCCTGATCTGAGGTCTTGATTTCAAAAAAGGATTCTGAGCAAGTGGCTCAGGCTTGTCCTCCACAGGCTCAGCTTTTGGCTTGGTTGGCTTGACAATAGGTCGGAGATTTGGCTTCTTCACTTCCTTGGCTGACACCTTGTGTCCACATTCCAGTCCCATTTCGTTTTTCAACTGGAACAGTTTGCCCTTCTCTGTTTTCAGCTCTGGCTTCTTGCTGTCCTTTGGAGCTGCTGACTGCTTCGGTGGGACCATGGGCAAAATCATGCCTGGAGGCTTGGGAGGAGGCCTCTGCCTCTCCATTAACTCGCCTTCTGACTTAATGATCGATTCCTTCCTGGGCGGCAGGCTGGGCTTCTCCTCCACATCACGGTCCGAGATCTCCTCGTACCCAGAGGTGAAGGCTAGGTCTGCACTCTCAGTAGCCTCCTTCCCCTTCCAGTCTTTGGCCCACTTCATTCCACAGTCCATACCATTCGGAGGAGCCTCTGGCAGAGGCCTGCAAGGTCCAGTGGCTTCTTCGCTGGCACTGCTTTCCACTGTGGCATCAGCAACCCGCAGCTGGGCTATCTCGTTGGGTAATGGAGCCAGGAAGTTTGGCCTGGATGCGTTGCTAGTTTTCTTGTATTTATCAATAAACGTAGCAGGAGCCCAGCCTTCCTTCTCCTCTATCTGAATGTACCACCAGCCGCTCAAGTTCTTCTCAATAACCTGCAGGAGGAAAGGAAACCTCAGACACGCACACATCGGCCCTCTCTGCACAAAAGGGGATGCTCAGTATCTCTGAAATGAGATCAGTATGACATGAGGCCCTGCTGCTTTTGCCTCCCCCAACTTGGTATCCAAATTCCACATAATGACAGGGACAGCCAGCTAGAATGTTTTTCACATAGCTGTTACTGCCGGCTCAGCCTGCAAAACACACGACTGGCACCCTAAGGAGAGGGAATCCTGCTGAGGACCTCGGCTAGGAGAGGTGACCCAGGTGCCAGGAGCTGGCACTAGGGCAGCTCACTGAAGGAATGACATTATCTCGTCAGACACGAATGCTTGGGAGAGTTGCACTGAGCTGTCACCATCCGGCCCTGAAAGACAGGACAGGCTCTCCCAAGACACAGCTCTCCCAAGTACTTGCAGCGGCCACTGCGTGGCACTGTTGGAGCAGTCAACCAGCAGCATTACTGCACAGATGTGCAAACCTCCAGCCTATGTATGCTCCAGAAATGGGACTAGGACCTGCTCTCCACTGGGAAGAGGTGACTGGGGCAGCAATAAAGGAAAAGTGTTCTTAGAGAGACACAGACTATATGTGGAAAAGCATAATTAGATCTACAACTGGGATTCTGCCAGTAAAACCGGATGTGCTAGTTAAGCAATTGTGTTTGGAACAGGCCTAAATAAGAAAAAACGCCATCTCTAACTCCATTTGTGATGTAGTTTTAATTTCCATTAGCTCAGTCACACTTGGGGGACAAGAGGCTGCCAGGAGCACCAGGGACTCCAAAGCCTCATAGCTCATATGGGTTTCTCTTCTGCTCTAGGTGAGCCCAGGGATGCTGACAGTTCACACACGCAGTAACATCCACCACCATGCTCAGTTTCCACCCAGAACACAGTGATTGGTTCCTCCCTGCCCAAAACAGGATCCCAGGGCCAATGGGAGCCAGGATTTCCGCTCTCCTGCAAAGGAGCAGTGAGAAAAGAAGACGACATTCTCACCTCTACTTTCATTCCTGCCTGGAAGCTGATGCCATCCGGGATGGTGGTCTGGAAGTCAGCTATGGTGTAATATTCCTCTTCCACTTGAGGAGGGACAGGAGGTTTAGGCAGGTTCAAACCACGTGGCTATGACAATGAAAACCAAAACCCATCAATGTGTTTCTACAGAAGGTGCAACACAACGCTCACACAGACAAACAGCCTGCAGAGAAGCAAGCTAGCACAGGCAGGCCTGGGTGGTCAGCTTAGCCCATGCAGCACTCTCACAAACTGGCAAGTCATTTCCAGGCTGAAAAGGAAATTGCCCAGATTGTCTGATGTATCACTAACAGGGGAGTTACTCTCCCTAGGAGGAGGGAGATGGCTTGCAACCTTGCACTGGCAGCTTAGCCTCGCAGGACAAACCGACCAAAGGTTCACCTAAAGACCAATTGCAAACAGAGGAGTCTTATGACAGCATGAAGGTCATGTGCCTACTCTAATCCCAATCAAGCCCGTGGTACAGGGCTGAGAATAACCAGAGACCAGAGCTCCTTCTCAGTGCTTCTCTCCGTCTCCCTCTGCCACTGCTGTTCTCCTACTTCTCCTGGCAAATGAGATATAAGACCACCACCACTGGTTCAGACCTATCTAGCTCAGTCTTCTGTCTCCAATAGTAACTGTAAGCAGATGCTTTGAGAAGATCAGGAATGGGGCCATCCTACACAATACCACCCCTCTCTGGGTTTCCAAGACTCTGGGAGGACTCAGGATATACTTACTATAGTGAGATCCCTGCGAGGAGGGGGTCTCTGCCTCATCTTCGGTGACTCTGCGGAGAAAGAATTTCAGATGCTGTTGAGGTTCTGGCTGTGGGTCCCACGCCCGGGGGGGGGAGGGGGGACCCTTCCCTAAAGGCGTGTGGAAGAGGAAACAATGGCAGTCTCCATGTTCACACTCTAAAGGCTGCCTCCTGCCCTTCCCCTTCCCAGAATGGCATGGGCAAAGCCTGGGAAGGCAGTCAAACAAGGGCCCTGTCTGCCTGGTACCTAAAGCGACACAGGTCACCCAGGTTTTGAGAGCATCTCACTGGAACAGGAGGTAGTTTTGCACCAGCAGGTCCCACTGGGACATGAGGCTGAGGTGACCAAGTGAACTTGCCTTTTCACTACAGGCCTGACCCCGAAGCCCTGACTTTACCTGTCAGGTTAAAATGCCTCAGCTCCTGAGAGGAGCGTATGGAGTCAAATTTGCAGCCTGGGAGGGGGGCTGTGTCGGTTACATCCAGTGAGTCCAGCAGATCCCTGCAGCGCTGTTCACTTGCCCTGTCTGTCTAGGCCACGCTATTTCTAGACCTTGCTGCAAAGCTCTCAGTACCAGCAGGCCTTTTGGCTCCCTCACACCTGGTTACCAAAAGCCCACAAGAAGGGCTGCACTGAAACCCCAGCCATCACTGACGTCTTCCCGACTGGCCACTTACTGCGTCGAATATCAGCATTAGGCAGGGGACGGCTGTCAAATCTCCCATCTCTCTGGCTGGCGAGACCGTCCTTCTCTCGGTTTGCTGCGTTCTGCTGCCGGGAGATGCCATCCAGATCCAAGGCACATGAATGAGTGGAGGAGCCTGACCCCAGCTTCTGTGAAAACACCTCTCCGTTCCCCTTTTTGAGATAGGAGGCCGGGGCCCAGCCTTCTTGGCCCTGGTACCTGTGAGGGTAACAAGAGGGGCGCCGCTGTCCTAAGCCCTCAGCACTGCCATCCATCCGCCCTTGTCTCAGGACTCAGGGGTCACTAGACCTTTCCAGAGGGATGATCCACTGCGCTTCAGTTGGGCTAAAGGACCTTCCCAGAGCCAGAGCTCAGGACAAGCAATGACCAAAGGCCAGTTACCATGTGATCTGGGCAAAATGAGCTTGCTCAGGTTCAGGCCCCATTTCTGTCATATGGGCATCTGAAAAGCTCCAGCAATGACTCACGCTCCCATGCAAACCAGCCGCAGCCAGCAGGCCTGGGGCCGGGAAAGCCATGAGGCCTGGTTTCCTTTTCACCTCAGCAATGGCACAGGTTCAGGAATGAAACACACTGGCAGGGTAAGCGGAGAGGAAAACTAGAGGGCTGCTGCTAGGCTTTACGTACCTGTTCTTTGGATAGAACACAAGCATTCGGTCTGCACAGCCTGTCAGCCTGGATCCCTTCCCTGCTCTAAATCTGCACCGAGTTTAGGAGAATAACCAATCCTGCAATGTGATTGAAAAACCACATCCATGGAGTCTGCCTGCCATGCTGGAGGGTCTCGTGCCAGCATCAGGACAACTCTCCCCGCTGGCCGGGCTGGAGCCATTACACTCGGATGGCACCAGCTGCTGAGCTTGTAATTGCCTTTAGAGCTCTCATGGCAGCTCTTCTCAGTTTAGAAAGTCAATGGACATTTTTCTGGGGCCTTGCTGCTGCCAATACCACAGGTTCAGTGTAAGGTTAAGAAAATTGTGGCACATCCTTTGACCCTGCTCAGCTCAGTCCATTTGCTAGACCGCAGACAAGAGAAAATGAGCTTCCAGGAGAAAACAAGCATCAGCTTGGGATGATCAGACATCTTTGGCTCAACACACACTGCACACAGCAGACCTGGCCCGGACGATGGCCCTTCTCCACAGAAGCTTCCTAACACAGCCAGTGGATCCAGCCTGCCTCAGGGACGCTCGCTAGCTTACCCAACAGCAATACATGATGTAATATTAACGTCTGGTTAATATTTGGTTTCCCACATTGGTTCCCATTACTGGGGCATGTAGTGCTGTGACACAGTTCACCTCCCCAGCGCAGGAATGAAGGAGAGCTTACAGATGTTTTACCACATATAAGCTCAGCTGAAGCCCTGAACATGAGCTAGCTTTAGCGTGTAGGTATGGAAAGACCTGAATTCTGGACTCTGCTCTCCCCTATATTCTAGACTTTGGTTTAGACCATACCTCCCACACACGTTGAGTCCCTGCTTTGCATAGCCTCCTCTGCAATCCCAGGAAGAGCAAGGGGTAGGGATGGTACCTGATCTTCCACCAGCCCTCCAGGTTCTTCTGGATCACCACCACCACAGCCCCTTTGTCCAGGTTTATTTCATCCTGGTCTCTTGCGATATATGGGTAAATAACTGTGTACTTCTCCTCTGTTGGAAAGAAAGTGCAGTTTCATGGATGTATTGTTTTGTGGGAACTTGGACTCAGTCAAACAATGGTTAAGTGCTTTATATAGACAATAATTCTTGTTGTGATACAGGTGCCAACACACAGAGATACATGACTATTTGAAGAGAAATGCCAGTGAAATGTATTTCAAAAAAAAACCCAATTGCATTTTGAAATGTAAGCTTTGGTGAACTAGTGTGGCCCAAAGAAAAGCTGTCTAAAGCAGCTCCCTCCTCTCCCTTAGGGCTGTGTCCTCTCTCATGTCTAAAGCCCCCAAAAGTAGGCAGTCATTTGCCGCCTTGAGTCCACTCCTACAGCCCTGTATTGCACAAACAAGTCAGGACTCCTTTCGAAAGCTTCTGTCTTAAGGCTTGCCCCACCATAACCAGCCTGAGGACTGCACCTGGGTACCCACTTCTTTTCCTCTCATCTCCTCCACCTCTCACACCTGTCCAGTTTGTGGCCCAAACTCTCACATCAGGATCTGTGCTCCTCGCAGTTCACAGGGACTCAGACAGGAAGCAGCCCCTGCTCAGGATCCACCATGGCCACCACCAGCTTCCCTAACCCCGTTCACACCTCAGTCCAGCTTCACCTTCCAGTTGCTTTTTGCCTTATTTCTCCTATATAGTTGATGTTCTAGAAAATGTGCTACTCTGAGGGCTAGAAACCTCACCCTAAATGGATGCCTGGCCCTTTCTCATTTAACATATATGGTTCTTATCTTCCCTCCTTTTAGCCCCAGTGTTTGGAGGGAAAGCAACCATGACCCTCCTCAGTCTGGGCTATCCACAGCAAGCCCCTTTCTCTTTTTTCATATGAGAGGCTCTCCTTTCACCTGCTCTTCATCAAAGCCCTTCCATGTACCCCTTTAAGTTTGAATTTCTCTTTTGGAAACTTTAAAGCAAAGCTGTATGCGATACAGGAAAGAAAATCACATAAACATCAGGAAGTAGCTCCACACATACTGATGTGCTCTCAGGTACAGGTGTCCACCTGTTCTACAAAGGCAGGTCCATATGAATGTCCCCATTCAACAGAAGGGTCTCCCAGGAGACTGCTTAAAGCCAAGGGGCAGGCCTGAAGAGTCTGATGTCCTGCCCACTAGACTGAGCCATGGTAAGCAGGGACACAGATGCTTTACCCTTCAAGAGGAAAGGGAAACTTCCTAACAGCCTTGTGAAGAAGCTGTCAGACAAACAGGTTCGTCTATCCCTCCTTCTCCCCTGCCTTGCCCTATCCTCTCTGGAAAAAAAGCCAGGGAAGAAACTGCCCATGCATAAGCAGTGCCACGATAGGGTAAAGGCCATTTTGAGAAAAATCTAACCCGAAAACCCACGCCTCTGGAGAGTCATATATCCCCACCTCACAGTTTTCCTGGCTTCATCTTCTTGGAAGAGCACAGTCTTTGAGGGACTTAATATTTCATATTGCACTGGATTCCCCACTCACACTGAGCAAAATCAAGCTGACCCTTTCCTCCTGACACTAGCCGAAACACCAACAGCCAGGTCCGTGACTTAGAGCAGGAGTTACTCTTACAGGAACTAAAGCAGCAGTTGCAAGTAGTCTGTATGCATGTGTTAGGGGAAAGCAGAAACTCCAGCCTCTCTACCCAAAACAGACAGGCCTCAAAGAGTTAGAAGGAGCTGCTGGTAGAGGAAAGAGAGATGGACACACGTGGGTCTGATGGAAAGCAGAGGAGCATGTATGGCACGAGTGACACAAGCAGAGTCCATCACATGCAAAGCAAACAGACATGCAGACAAGAAGGCTGCAAAGCACAGAACAAGGGCAGCTGAACAAGTCTCCACAAAGTCCACCTTGACCCCATCCACTGGTGTACAAGTCCCCAAGAGTCCGACGGCGGCCAACGTGCCTGGGCAGAGACCAGCAAAGAAGAGCGTGTTGGGGAAGCAGGAGAAGGACAAAAGAGGATATAAGGAGGCAGCACTTCAGAGCTGAGACAACAGGGCTGACACCAGAGAGGGGCACAGAGTACTCACCTGCACCCCAGGTGAGGGGCCCTCCCTGGGCTGAGTCCCTCCCTCCCACCTCCATCTCCCCAGGCCCAGGGGCTAAGCCAGCTATAGCACTGCTTTGAGCATACGGTGGTCAAGGGGAAGGATGCGTTCTCTGGGAGTGTTTCAGATTTACTTTAAGCAAAGGTTGCAGTCTTGTTATGCTCATCATGTGAGTCACTGCAATCTTGTTACGCTCATCATGTCAGTCTGTCCGTGCTCTTTGTTCCTGCCTGGGATTAGAAGACATGTGAATTGTCCTAGGACCTCTTCCTCCAGTGCAGGTAAATCTACTCCCTGGGACCTAAAGGAGACGTTGCAATAGCAGAACTAGATGTTCCTTGGAGGCGGCACATTCAGCCTCTCTGTGGGAAGCAGAGAAAGGTCAGCAGCTAAACCCATCGGCATCCAGCTGTTCCACTCGTGGTACAACGCTTGAGCAGAGCACTGGGAAGGCAGGACCATTACAGGCATATGTTACTGAACAGCCTGCCCTCACAGCACTTGTGGTTTTGTCCTTCCTGGAGCTCTGTCCCTGCCTAGGTTAAAAAGGACTAAGCAGTCCTGCAAGAGGCTCAGTGCACTTCAGCATAAAGAGGCTGGCGCAATTTTCTCCAGCTGCCTCTTACCTTCATCAGGCTGCATTGACAATTCGTCCTGGACGCCATCCTGAGCTTCCAGACAGGTCGCTGGCACCCAGCCTTGCTCTTCTGATGTGCTCACAAACCACCAGCCTGAGAACAAAACAGCAGACAGCTTAGCTGAGGGCATCCGTACTGCTCAAGCAGCCAAATGCCACCAGCTGAAAACTGCCTCCCTCTCTACAAACCTGCCTTGCTGCTGACGCAGGAGGCTGGGGTGACCCCAAAGCAACAGAGCCAAGCACTATCCAACAGGGAGCACAGACAGCAGCAGCAGAGAATCGCAGCTGAACGAGACCTACGTGTACAGTTCCCTCCTAACCATCACTAAAAACACAAGGCACCCTGAGAACTGAAAGACTCCAGCCACCTCACTTGCTTTCTTTTGCTTTTTTTTTTCCACAGTTCAGCTTCCCTCAGCATGGGTCACCAAGTCCAGTCTAATTAGCAGAGATGAATAAACTGTCTGCAAATCGATAACTGATTCCCGCTGTGCTCTTGCCTTCTTTACGTTTGTGGAAACAGTAAACTTCAAAAGCTGAGAGCAAATGCAAGATTCAAACATGGACTCTCTCAGTGGAAACTTAGCCAGCTCCATAGAGGCCACTAGCAATTCTGGGCCACTCTGAGTGTCCGTTCAAAATAAATGCACTCTCCTCAGTTATTAAACGCACAAGCTTTCAGGGGAAAAAAATTAAAGACCAAGCATTATTCCCAGAATCTCAACAGTGAATCATTTAGAAAGACAACTACATTGTCAAGGAGGGAATCCTCAGCTACTAGCATGCAAGTGAAAATCAGAGCTGATATATGATAAACAAGTTATTTGCCATACCTTTTGAATTGGCTCTGCTAATAGATTTCACTTGCCTCAGGGTTGCTTTTATTTTCTCATTCTCAAATGTAGCTGCTGATTCAATTAATCCTCTTGGGACTCGTTTTCCAGAATGTTAGAATCTGTTTTCATGATTCATCTTTAAATTAACTAAGCAACACCTATTCATTCAGTGAATAAATTCCCCTTTTCAACCAACTCCCAAAGTTGGACCCATGACGTGACCTGATCCCTTTACAGCGGTTAAGAGGGAGCCTAAGTTTTAAGCATGCCAGTAGCTCAGCTGACTCCTCCCGCCCCACAGCTGAGCACTTCACAGCGTTCTCCTTCGGAGGAGGCAGGAATTACAAATGCACAACGGCTGCTTTCATGGAGCTGCTGTTCAGCAATGGCCAGCATCCCCCTCTGTCAATAAAACAAGCCTGTCAATTGTGGGAATGGCTTTTGTCCTCAGGACTCCCTGGCCAAGTTTCTCAGTAAGAAGCAGCATGAAACGAAACCCCAAAAGGCGGATGGTGCCTGGTGCTCAGCATGCTAGGTAACCACACTCGTCCTTTAGAGACAGTCCCTAAATCTTGTACAATTTAAACAGAAAGCCTGCAGGCTGAAGCTGCTTCCTCCACAGCCTGCCTAAGACGACTGTCCAGGGATATCCCATCGAGGTGCTTGGAGGCTGTTTTGCTTAAGTTCTCATTAACTCAATGCTGACAGTACAGGACTGCTAGACCTATCTTTGCTCTGCAACACAGAGTAGATTCAAAGCCCTTTGCCAAGGCAGAGTCTCTGTACCTGATTCGTTCTTCTCAATGATATCCACCACCTGGCCCACGCACAAGCTGATCTCGGAGCTCTCCTGCTTCTGGTAGTCCGCCACCACGACATACTGCTCCAGCACCAAGGGATCGACCGATGCAGAATCAGCTCCTGCACAGGGGGAACAAAACCGATCCACGTGCCGGGGTCACCACCAGCTCAGGAGAGCACAGGCCACTGCTCCCTAGTGCCTGCTGACCTGCAAGCAGCTCCAGGACACCCTGGGGACCCAGCGTGAGAGACGTGAGCCAGAGACTTGGGCAGAGTGAGGAGGAGAGAGCCCAAACAAGCAGCCAGGTGAGATCAGTACAGCCAGGTGAGGCCTTCAACTTGCTACCCACCTTCTGCTCACAGAGCTGTCCAAGCATTCCCACCACCACCAAAGATGCAAACAGCAGTCTAGTCTCTGCTGCCAGAGGCTCGGGGCAGTCTCAAGTGGATTGACACCATCGAGGAGAGCTGCCTCAGCGCACTGAGCAGCTTTAGCCTCAGCTCAACACACGCGATCTGAAGTAGGTTTCACCAGTCGTGGCTGAAGATTTTTCAGCACCACATTGGTGGTGGGCATTTGCAGGACAAAGCACCAGCTCCCCGTCATCATTGTTCTTACGGATTTCTGCCACCTTCTTACGACTTGCTCATACATTTTGCTCTCCCAGCTGTTTGGTCCACTAACTGTGCTCAGCTCTCTCTGCTGCTCCTCCCACTGAGGCTCCCAATTTGACATCAGAAAAGTAACTAACCGAGAAAAAAAAATCAGGGAGGGAACGAGGGGCAGACAGACAGGATAAACAGAGAGTAAAATGATCACTAAGGCAAAAAAGGGTCTGACAGCTCCTGCAGTGGCACTCCTGGTGCAGCAGCACTCCTGGTGCAGCGCTCGGCAGGGCTCAAGGTGGCACTACAGGCTAAAGGAAGGGGACCTGCCACTGAGCAGATGCCAGAACCATCCTCTGTGGGGGACACAACAGACTGCAGGAGCAAGGCACAGCAGAGTGACACTGATTTATTTTTCCAAGCACATTTGCATTTAGGAGAGCGCTCTGGGTACAGATCTATCGCCTTTGCTCAGCATTTCTTGCTATGGTAGTACTGGAACGAACTCTTCAAGTCAAATCCATCTCTAGCTAAGGTTGTCCCTGTACATTGACCATAACTACCCTCAGAGGAAGTAATGTTATATGCAGAGAGATGGCAGCATCACAGTGCTTTGCAGGCCCATGTTAGCAGACACCACATGTGCTCAGGGCTGATCAGCTCTTAGTCCAGATTCTTCAGCCCCACTGAGTAGCCTTATGCTGAAACAGCCACAAGGCGTTTGGCAGCTCAGAGCACAAGCAGTGCTTGCCCCCTCTGCCTGCAAAAGCTTCCGAAGAGCAAAAAGAGCTCAGAAATTCCTGAACGTTACTCCCATTCGCCCCAAGCCTTGGCTTTCGCTTCTGACCCAACGCTTTGCCTTGCAGCTTCACAACCTGTCAGGTGAAGATACTATTGTATCACCTAGCTTTCCCAGGAGTGGTGAGAATTAATTAAAATTTGCCAGGTGCTTTGGAAATAGGGTAGTGTTAATAATTACAGCACAAGTGATACAAAAGAATCACAGGCCTGATCATGGGTGGTAGGTCAAACTGGCTTTGCATATACTCCAAGCATGTAGCTTGAAGTTTTGGATCAGAGACAGAAATCACATCTGCCCCTGGCCTCTAGCTGCTATAGCATGGCCGATACACAGGGCGATTACCTCCCGATCTCTGCAAGGCATGAGAAAGAAATGACATAGGGAGTGGAAGTCAAGTTTAGGGACATAAGGGCAAAATGTAGCAAGGACAAATTCAGGCTATGCATCAGCAAAGAGTTCGTACAGACAAGTGCTGCTATGCTGCAAGATGACACAATGGCTGCCCCACCACACGAGAGGTCTCAGTCTGACAAAAGATCTTTGCTATGGGGGAATCTACCGCAGGGAACAATCCTGCAATGACCAGATCAAGAAGGGCGTGTAGAGATGGACAAGATCTAACAGGTCTTCAGCAGTGCAAAGGTGCTCTGCTCCCCTGTAGAGACGTGCTCCTATGCCCAAGGTCACCACATTTCAAACTGGTTCTGAGAAAGAAAGGCCACAACAAAGGTTTAAATAAACAATGTATTTTCAGGATAGTCTTATTTAAAGGAAACAAAGGCAAACTGTCCATGTCATTCTGCTATAAACAGTTCTCTGCAGAGATGTAGGTGAGTTGGCCAAGTGCAGAGGTTCTGTTACCAGTAATGAAAGCTTTCTCCATACCAAAACCCAGAGGTGGGACACCAGACAGAATTAAAAATAGCCCTCTAAAGTGAATGGAAGATGCCAGGAATTTGGGCACTATCTGTTCTACTAGCCCAATTAAAGGTTTGTGCTTTAAAGTGATCAGAGCATCTGCCCAGCCACTGAGAGAATAACAGCTACAGGAAGAGAGAAGTACGTTCCTTTTTGCCTCCTTAGCTATAATTATGCCCATCGCTCTGAGGCTATTTGTAGTTTTAGCATGCAATTCTGGACCTTCCAACATACCTTTTAAACCAGCAACAGAAGTGGTAAACCAGGCTTGGAGGAAGAAGTAGGAGTTAATTTCAGAAGTGCCTTCACCTGGCACAATCATCCTCAACCACAAAAATACAAGGTCAAGTTAACAATAAAACATCCTATTCATGGGCAGACTTGGTCTCTTAAAAATAGCGATGGCCTAAACTTCACCATCTCAGATGAGAGTACCTGAAGCGCTGTGGCTGGGGAGGAGCGGAAGTGTCAGGTACAGTACATAGCCCACAAGGGAGAGCGAGTTTTGCAGAACAGGTATAGCCAGGAACACAAAGCCTGAGTATCCTGAACAATACCCCACACATTTGAGAGACTGACACAAACATGTGGCCTAAAGAAGGGATGCTCAATGAGGTCAAATGACCACCAAAGTCCTTGGAGTGGACTTGCAGAGCTGACACTTGTCACTGAAGCAAAGAGCGAGTCGAGGTGGAGGTGCACTCAGCTCTGCTGCCTGGCCGGACACTGTCTCCAGGCAGCACGCATCCAAGCTGTAGCAACTTGGATGCAAACCCAGCTACTAATCCAAGGACTGCTCAGAGGAATAAGTTTGCTCTGAAGACAGGCCATAGACAGGGCCATTGCCTGCTGTAGCAGTGAGAGGTCAGCCTGTAAATCTTTGCTTGCGAGATTTCCAGTCTTCCCCATTTGTGGCTTTGTAGTATCACTGTCAAAAGTGAGGACTCTTATGGGGTTTGGACACTGGTGCCTCCAGAGGGAAACAAAAAGGGCAGGACTGAAATAAAAGAGCGAACAGACATATTTGCGTTTGAGGCCTACCCATCCTGTATGTTACAGCCCATGCCTACTGCACCTTCCAAAAATGCGGTGCTTTGGACAAACGTTATTTTGCTATTTCTCCTAGTCTTCTGGTCTTTGCTAGTTAGACCCAGTGCTCTCAGGAGAGCTCCCTTTCTCCCAGGACCGAGGAGTTTGTGAAGATCAGTATTGCAGAACTGAGTTACTCTTTGCTCTCATGTGAAATGAGTAGAGATGCTGAGCTGTACTCTTTGCAATCCCTCTCATCTCCACAGGGATTTTGTCAGAGATGGTAAAAAAATCATATGGAAATATCATTCATCAGTGGAGTTGTAAAAAGGTCCTCCTACAGCTACCGTAGGATATGAGTGCTGTGTTTTGCCTTGCTTATCTCTTATTACGCTGAGTACTATGTTTTGGGGTCTCTATGCCACTGTGGGCATATTACATTGAACAGCAAAACGGATGTGGCCACACAAGGAACTACCTAAAACAAAACTGGCAAGGGAATGTTGGAGCCCCTCTACCAGGCTCCTTGCGTAGCTCCACCCAAATATAAACTGCCAAGATAGTTTTGGGCTCTCGTGCACTAAGTCAGTGCTAAAAATGCACCCTGTGAATCTCCATCTGTCAACAAGTGCTTTCTGTTGAACTGCAAAAGGAAGAGTAAATGGAAACATTCAAAATAGTCTTGAGGCCTGATATGATGATTACTTTTAGATGTACCTAAATCAATGGCCAAGTTAGACTTCAGAGTCTCGAAGTCTAGAAAATAATCCACTCTCCCTGCAAGCTGCAGGTTGTTCAGCGCCAAGCACAGGAGGGCTTGAGCCTGCGCCTCAGGCTCATAAGACTTTGCAGGATTACAAATATTGTTAAGAAAGCTGAGCAAAGGAAGTAGATTTTATTTCCAGCGCTCACTGACTCATACTGGGCATGTCCTGTCTTTGGCCCTCCTCGCAACAACAAATGTCTCTTGCATCCTCATGGTCACCAAGGAGGGCTCAGCACTTTAACCCACTTAGCACTTAATACCCCCATGTTTGCTCACAGCCCGTTTCTAAGCAGTGCTTTCTCCTGCCAAGAGCTCAGGAGCATTTGTTCTTTCCAATGCTATTCTAAAGAGCAGCTCACCCCCTTTCTGGCAAGGCCGGGAGAAATAAGCAACTGGGAAACAAATCTAGTTATTATTGTTTGCTAGCAGCTGTTGGATGCCCTCTCCTCAGGGAGATCCCACATTAAAAAAGCTTCTTTTATGCCTTGCTGCATATTTCCTACCTCAAAGCAGACCTGGCTTGAGGAACCAATGAATAATCAGGGAATTCCTCAAGGTAGAAGAGGATTCAAAGTGATTGTAGCAAACCCAAAGTCCGTTTCTGCTGCCAGGAAAGGCAAGACAGTGAGAGGAGTCTCAGAACACATCTGGCACAGAGCATCAGCCATTTCTAGTGTTATTGCACACAAATATCTTTCCCTGATGGCTACTGCACATAAGCTAGGACCCAAAGTGAGGGATTATGGTGCCACAGGCAAAACATTGCGTTCTGTCCTGCCAGAGCTAGGCTCTGGCTTGGAAGCTGCCCAAGAATCTCTCCATGTTCCCTCCCTCTCAATGGCACCAAGCAAACAGCCTCCCAAAGAGCATTTTCTCTTTGATCTCAGCAGCTTGTGTCACTTATAAAACTGCCACGCTAGTAGAAGTAGGGAGCAAAAGGCTGCCCATAAACCTGCTTGGCTAATGGGTCCACAGGTGGTCGGAGGGCAGAATGAAGCTGCATACACAAAAAGCACAAAAGCCCCTGCTTCCCTATCAGCTAGGGTTCTTAAGTTGAATTCTTCCCTCTAAGAATTCAGCCATGCAAGAAAAATTTCCTCCTCTTCTCCTCAACCCTAGAAAGTTCTTCTCTTCTCTTGTCTAATGTAAGTGGATTGGGTTCAAAATAATCTCCTGATATTCTGCTCTCATAAGGAAATAAGGTACCTTTCCCTTACTCATCAGGTGTTTGTATTGAGCTACTGCAGAAGAGAAGTTTTCAAGACAAGGGAGATCATAACTTTTTTGTTTAACCTCCGTTTTATCAAAAGAGAGGAGAAAGAAAAAAAAAAATCACAGCCTGCTTTTTCCCCACCCACACTTGTCTCTGCTTCCAAGCATGTTTGCACTGAAAGGAGTAGCTCAACTTGAAGCAAAATCTTTAACACATCTCATCCGACAAAGCTAGTTGAAGTCCCACCATTTCGGTAAAAGAAAGCTAGTACAAAAACTATAGTCCGTGCCTGTAAATGGCTCCTGAGAGCTGTAAAACTACCATCACAAGATCTGGTTTTGACAGACATAACTAGTAGCAGTCAGAGTTTGGGGAGAAAGTGCTGTCCAAAGGTCTTAATCATACTGCTAAATCCCCGCTAGTTAGTCAGGAGACCATCCAGTTATTTGCTCTGCCCACGAGACCAGAGCAAAACCAGGAGCCACTGTTCCACCAGACAATATCTGAGCATCTCATACTCATCTCAGAACGCGTCTCAATTAAGAGGCTGGGTTACCATCAGTCCCCGAGGGAGAGAGACCCTCCAGGTTCAACAGAAAAGAAAGAAAAGTGGAATTACGTTTTTGAGTCTCCTCTGTATCTTTTCTCTCTACTTAGAGAGGAATCCAGTCATCTACAAGTAAATTCCTTTATGCAGTTTATTGCAGTGCCAACTCTCATGCCAAAAACCTTTCTGCAACCTATTTCAGCAGAATTTCGAGCCAAACTTCAGACCTTCCTTTCCAAAGGCCTTCACTCTATTTTACACCTTCTGTAAACCCAGTAGCTGAAAGATGCCCTCCCTAATCCATAGGTTGAAGGAAGATTCCTCTCCTCTCCTCTCCCTTTCTCATGTTTCTGGGAAGCTCGGACAACCTTAAAATACACCAAACAAGGGATCTTGCACAGACATATGTGTCCCTGTCTTAAGGAGCAGATATAGCGCATCCCAGACCCTGCCCTCCACCCAAAATGTGTAATCGTGGTATAATCATGAAGCAGAAAGTATCATGAGATCAGGACACTTTCACTATTCATCACACAGCCCAGACACTCCTCCAGATTTGAGGGTACTGTGAAATTTTGCAGCCTCCGATTTCTGCCTGAAGACAAAGTCCTGCCCTTTGCCTGGGACCTGTAAAATAGCCCCCAACCTCTGAGCTGAGCTGTACTCACAGAGAGCAAGGAACTGGCCTCCAATCCTCAGCCAAGCGGCAGTCCCAAAGCCCACCATATTTCTCTCAGCTCTGCACTACTTCCCCGTGTCCACCAGCAACCAAAGAAAGCTACAGGGGATGTGATAGCTTCTTGCAAGGGATTTCGCCCTCACAGAAAGAGCAGGTGTCACCCAGGCGAAAGGCAAAGCAAGAGCGAGGCTCAGGTAGCGAGCTGCTGTTACTACCTCTCTGAAGGAAAGAAGCCGTTCTCTGGATAAATCCTGATGAAGGAACAAAACGATAGGAGAAAAAGCATGAGGGAAGGAGGGAAAAAAACACAGAGGTGCCAGAAACGGCGGGAACAATTAGATTAACAAATAAACGTGCCGCCCAGCCCAGCTTGGAGAGCTGCATGCTTCAGTCCCTTCCCATCCCTCCTCAGGACGCCCTGCCGCTGCAGAGCTGAGGGAAGCGAGGAAGGCTGGCAAGCTTGCCCCAGGCTGGTGAAAAGCCCCAGCCTCTTCTCTCTGCAGTAATATCCCCTCCTCATGAGCAGGGGAGAAACGCTGTCTTTGCAAGTCCCTCTTCAGACACCATCTGAACATGGGGACATGGGGCTGAGACACAGAAGTGGCTGCAATGAAACCTAGAGAGGTGGTGCTGGGAAGGTGCCCTCTTGCTCACTCTTGCTCCTTCCCATCCACCCCGGCTGGAAGGAGGCAGCAGCGCCAAGAGGGAGCACAGCGAATCCAGGGTAAGCCCCGCAGACCGCTGCCTCGCGATGCTGCAGGGGACCTGGCCCTCGCCCCAACAGGGAGCACAGCAGCAGTGCGCGGCAGTGTCCTCCCCGGGCCAGGCACCCACACCAGTTCCAGCGGCAGCCGACTGAGGCTGGGGCCAAAAAGGAGGAGCTGATGAAACAACAGGAGAAAAAAGGAGCCCTTACCAGACTTCTTCTTTCCAATGGGTTCTCTGAAAAAGAGAAAGAAAAAGATCAGCAGAAGGAAGAAGGGAAGTTAGGTTGTTTGTGAAATGACAAATCAGCACAATGCAGTGGTTGCAGTGCAGCTCCCCTGAAAGCACACTAGGGCTAGTTTTGGCTTTCACTGACTCAGCACGTGACCTTCTCTACACAAGTTAATTTTCCCACTGATGACATGGGGTATAACCAGCCTTGCAAACAGCCCGTTTCTCTCTCTCGTTATGTTTAGTAATTTAATGGCTTCGTCTTTCATAGGGTGAGGCTCAGTTCTTGGCCTGGCCACCGTGGCAGCTTGGTCTGACATCCACAACTCACACTGGGTGCCTTGGAAAAGATAGGTGGATAGGGATGATCTGGCACAAGATTCAGGAGTGAGGAAAGCCCAAACCCCCAAATTCTCAACACAGACTAAAGCCACCACAGAAATGGCCACTACTTTGTAAGACAGCTGAAGAGGGAAATACTGAAGCTCCTCTGGGTCCTGGGACTCCCTCAGGGACAAGGGTGGGATGGGAAGCGGTGAGGGAAGGGGCAAGCTTTTATGCCCCAAAATGGAACTCAGTGGAGAGTGTTGTAGAGAGGACACACACCAGCGTTGTGCAGCAGAAAAGGTGACCTTCAGGACTGAGGAAGCAGGAGATAGGGGCAGTTATGAGGTGAAAACGAGGCAGCTTCAGCACAACTCCTCTTGCTAAGGACAGTATGGGCAGCATACCTGTTGGGATGAGCTAGCAATCGCAGGTCCTGTGTCCCTTCTCTGGTTGCTAAACTGCCTCAAACTGGGCACAAGCACAACCTTCTCTAAGCACAATGAAATCTGGGGCATTTCAGGAATAAAAAAGCAAACAATAAACCCAGGAAAATATGGGCCAAGACAAATACGGGCCTTGATTTAAAAAACCAAGGATACTGCCAATAAGCCAAGACACCCAACCAGCCTGAATTTGAAACAAATGCACCAACTCTGTCACCAGCTTTGACCACAGCTGACCACGTTTCTGAAAAAGAGCTCTCAATGTGTGCTGAGAGCAGATGGAGCCCTCCTTTCCTAACGAACTCCACTTGCAAAACAATTCCTGCGCCCCCTTCCATTTGTTTTCAGGCCAAGCAGCGAGATCCCTCCATGCTCAGCAAGAAAAAAAGCCAAAGCTGGGTTCCAGTTTGTTCTCTTTCAAGCTTATCTGTGTCTTTAGAACATAATTACTGTGGACATTTCATTCTCCTGGAGCAATGGGGTCATGCAGGGACCCTCCTGCCTTCAGAGACCGGCCGTTCATCCTGGCAACACATTCCCAGTGCGCTCAGGGAAGGCAGAGCTGATGTTGCAGCTCCAGAGGTACCCACAGAGGAGCACTCCCTGCCCAGCCCAGGCAAGGGCAACAGGACCGTGCAAGGAGGGAGCCAGGGACAGGGAAAAACACCAAACCGCTAAGTATGACGGGACCACCTGGCATTGCTGGCTGAAGCCACAATAGGGGGCTCCATCTGCCTGTCGCCTGGCCTCTTGTATCCCGAATGCCTGCCCAGCAGGCAGGGGCTACCTCAATACTCCACCTTGGTCTACAGAGACAGGCTGGAGAAAGGAACTGCTCACCCTTCCCACAGACAGTGCCCATAGTAAGAGATTCCCTCACCTCGTTGTTCCCACAACAATGCATGACAAGCTCGCTGCCCAGTCCCAGTAATATCCCCCATAACCTCTTCTTTGGCCCTAGGCAGGCCCTGAGAGTTAAGCACTTTTGCTAACGATGCATTATCCTCCCTGTCCCCATCTCCCTTTGAACCTTAAACCTCTGGACCTTGATTATGGAACTGTAAATAAAACTAAATGAAATGCTGCAAAGATTAGAAACAAATGGGACATTGTACCTAGAAACTGAAGACTATCTGTTAAGTTCAGAGACCAGGGAACCATGCAGAGACCACCTGAATGTGACATCCCCGATGCAGAGGCCAATAGAGGAATCCCACCAGACAGGGCATCCCAAAGACGTCTCCAAACAAAGGTCAAAGTGCAGAGCTAAATCAGTGTTTATCTATAATAAGCCCTGCTAAATACAGTCCTGCTCCAGCCGGCCCCGCTGGGCGCTCTGTCCATCCACGTGCTTCCTTGCCCCGCGTGCACACAGAGTGGGTGCGCAGCTGCACCTGCCTGCAACAGCCTACTGCCGTGGAGCAGTAATTGCTGATGGTGCAAGTGCAAAGGGAGGAAAAGTAAGTCCAGATAAGCACAATGGAGAAAAGCAGGTGGGCAATGCATACCCTCGCTGATCGGAGAGCTCTTATGGAAAAAACTGTAGTTTTTCCCCTTGCTAGCTGCTAAACGTATTAATGTAACTCATCCCCCTGTTTCCTTTCACCGGCTGCTCTGTCTGGGTGAGGGGGCAAGGAAGGAGCTGCAATTTCACTTTGCTGCTGGGATAGTCTTGGCAGGAATACAAAGAGCTGCAGGTCTGGACACCAGCAGCTCCAGCCCACCACCTCAGAAGGGACAGGAGCTCAGACAAGACAGGAAACAGCAATAAACTCCCGGCAGCGTCTCCTCCCTCCTCCATTCCCTACGGACCAGGGAAAGGCACACAGCAGAGCCCGCATGCAGACCCTCCTGGAAACCAGGCGCTCAGTCTGCCTTCTGCTGTGAAACTCGTTTAGCTCTCAACCGCGCGAAACTGTGCAGATGAACGAGGCAGCCACAGCACATTTACCACAGGGCACCACTACACAGCTGTGAGTACGCGCTGCCAATCAGCTCCACAAAACTCCCCAAGTCCCCCAAGGGGTGAAATTCAGGACTGTTTCTCCAGCTACTTCGCAGGACTTTCCCAGCTGCTGGTCAGAAACACTAAAGGCAAGGTTTCCAGTGTAACAGGAGTCCCACTTAAACACTGAGTAAACAAGATGGTATTAGGTGGGGTGTAATCGGCTCAGTTCAGTGTCCTTCAGGCATCCAATAATCCACAGTATACATGAAAGGAAACTCCTATGTAGAGAACTTTTGGGAGCACTTAATATTCTCCATGCCACTTCTTTTAGGAAAAAAAAGTTGGGTTTCTCAAGCATCTTCTGTGTATCAGATAGCATCTCTGTGGATCCAGTGATGGGAAGGAGTGCAGAGATGGGGAGCACAAGGCTGCACCAAGGGCATCAAACAATGCCAGCATGCAGGAAGACAGGTCCAGAACAAACAGAAGGAGGCTATGCTTCAGCAATATGTGGGCAAACTGTTAAACTCCTTACCACAGGATGTTGTGGACACTACAAGTCTTCATGGGCTTAAAGGGTAACTGGTCATAATTCAGGTAAGAAATATTAAAAGCTATTAATTATAAAACCAGAAAAATCCCAAGGCTTATGAGAGCATCTAGAAAAGTGCTGTTACATGCTTGCCCCATTTTAAACTCTCCCAGACTTCCACTTTTGGTCATGGTTGCGAGGCTAGGCAGCCCACTGGGCGCGCTCCAGGGAGGTGGCTCTGATATCGCCAGTGGCAAAGCCCACCTTCTAGTGGGACTTGTAGAGAGAAAGTGCCCTGCTAGGTAGCAGGTGCCTGGTGGTCTGAGATATCGTGAACCAAAAATGCTGCCCCATGGCCCCTGTTACAGGGAAGCTGCAGAGCAGGAGAGATACTGTGGTGCATGAGTACGAGGAACTCAAGCCTAGCTGCTGCAAAGCCAGCCACACAGGACTTGCACTTGACATGCAAGACGTGACAGATCTCAAGTCACCGTTCCAAGAAAACATTTCCTGCAGAAAAAATTAGCTCTTTGTAAAAAAAAAAAAAAATCCTTCCATAATACAGTAATGCCATCAGAATAGCCAGCAGGAGGTAGTTGATCTCGTAAGTATTCATCAAGCTGGAGATATTAGAAGTCTTAGCAAAGCTTATGCAAGCAAGACAGAGATCTGGGTTACAACAGAGCTCTTATTTAGGAGAACTGGTGGGCTAATGCAAATACTCCACAGAACACTGAACAGAGCCCCTGTCCCCCATGCTATAGTCCTGTGTCCTTGCCTGTATACGTAACGCTGAAGAGCTGTCTAAGCTGAAACCTTTGGACTCAAAAAGATTGCCCTGTTTGGATAGAAATCAGGTACCCTATCCATGCAAGGAGCTCTCACTCGAGCATAACGTACTTTTGCACAGTGGCATCAGATATTTATCTCTGCTGTTGTCTAGGAAAGACAGTTCTCAGCTGACAGTGAGGGAGACCAGTATTTTGGAGCTGAGATCTAGTCTGAGCTCCTGGTGAATCTGCACGTAGGCTCCAGCAGAACTGCAAAACAAACAATTCATTATACAAGCTATAATTTGTCTGGATAGCAGGGACACGGCTCAAAAACCACAAGCCAACAAGCGTCCTTATCCAAACCAACATCTATCAACTCAGGCAGGGATCTCTAGTTTTATCAGCACAGGCTACTGGAATTGTTTCCTCCATGGGGCAGCCGCTCCATCTTGCAACAGGGACCTGAGCATCTCCTTTTCCTATTAAATCCCCTGCAACCTGGCCCAGCATTTTGTGCCCCTATTACCTCCCAAACTCATGGCAAAGGGTGACAAGGAAAACTTTTGCTCCTGGCACAGCTCAACTACAGGGAAAGCAAAGCACATGAAAGCTACTGGGAAGCAGGAGGGAAAAAAGAGACTTGCTTCTGGAAGACACTGGCTGTGAGTCTGCACCACAAATTCATGGAAATAAGAGAAAGAAACAGATTTGTTTCCTGTTACAGTGGTGGAAACATGCATCTGTCTAGCATCTTCTTCTGCTGCTTTGGACAAAACTCACATCTTTTAGTTTTATCTGCCAGTACCATGACCCTAAGTAGGACCTTCCATTCACATCACATGGAAGACAAGCATAAACAATCAGATCAAATCAGGCCTGATTCTCATTTTGGCCCAGTTCTCCCTTCTCTGATTTATTGGGGCTGGTGAGTGCCTGCAGTCCCTGTCAGGTTGTGTGCAGGAAGCAATCCATTACTGCACTAC